TCATACACACACACACACACACACACACAAACTCTCTCTCTTTCTCTCTTTCTCTCTTTCGTTTAAATATTCTCTTAAAGTGTTTAAAGGCGACCAGCCCCACAAAGATGTCACATCGAAGAAAAGAATCAGAATTGGACAAGAAAAACTGGAAATCCCGGTTTCTTTTCTTTTTTCCTTTCTTCAATGTTGCTCGTTGAACGAATTCCAGCGACCCACCGATTACTCCGCGCTCCGCCGAGTAACAAATGTTCAATTTTTTCCTTTCGTTCAACTACCATCCTCAAACGAGAGTTGTTTACTCCGTTCCGTTGTTTTCCCTTATTTGATCCCCCACCCCTCTTTTCCAATTGCACGGAAGAAACCTAACCGGTAAGTTTGGTTACGCGCGCGCACGTGTAGTCCACGTTCTACGCATCTCGGTGAGTTAAATATATGTATAAATAAATAACATAATTTGTACAAAAAAACGACGTTTTCTCTCGAACAAATTATGCGATATAAAAATGTTGGAAACAGAATAAACGTCCCTGCAGAGCTGGCTGCGCTCTGACGTTAAAAAATATCAGCGAGCAGCCCGTTTTCTTTTCTCTCTCTCTCTCTTTCTCTCCCTCTCTTTTCTCCTTTTTCATTTATACCTAGCAGCGCAAAATAGTCGTGATAGAAAACAGTAAATATAAATTCGCTCTTTTGTTCCTTTTTCTAGCCTCCAAATCATTCCTCCGGAATCATTGTCGACGATTCAGGATCACGATTCTGTCACCCTTCGGTCGCTGTTATTAATCTACCGTCATCTTTACTATTTTCTACGAAGAATATTTCTTAGCTCGTTCTGGAGGTAGACCTAATGAAATTTCGGTGGACACTTTCCTTTACCGCCTTTCCCGACACCTTAAAGTCGATCGAGAAGTCCGGTGCAACAGGGAACGAAGTAATCGAATCTTCATATCTAATCATTGTCCTCCGATTCGCAATTACATGGCACAATTTCTGGTTAGACGTTTGCTCGCGTCAAGCAAAAATAAGAGAGTTCCTTGGACACGTTAAAGCGACGTCGACAAGTCCAAGTAACGAAACAGCAGTCTTAATTATGGAATTTCTACTGAAACGCAAGTTTTTCTGGAAGGCTGAATATTTTCGTGAATGTTACTACTGCAGCGGCAAACTGCTGGCTCCCTTTTGCACCGGGCCCCTCGATTCTTCCATCTCTGTCCAGGTAGAACGAGGGTTCTTCTATTTTAAAGTAAATCCTCGAAGCATCGTATTTCTAGTATAAATTTAATACTAGCATAAATAATCGATTTCAAGAGATATATCTTAGCTCTGTGCTCTTCTCGTCGCGCTTAACCGTAACACTGCCGCGACACGACGGAACATATTCGAATAGACGCAATTCAACGTCGACTGCTACACGTTTCTGTAATATATCATCGTTGATCGAACGCTCGATCAACTATGTTAACCCGTGGTATCCTCTCGTTCTACCGGCGGAACGTCCTCGCCAACGTATCAACTTCACATGCGACACCCAAAAAATCTTCCCAAGAAACATTCTTAGGAATTGTTTCTAAAACGAAAAAATAGTTTTTAAGAAGTGCCTCTAAGAAGCTCGTTATAGCTGATAACTTCGTCCCGACGTACGGACGCATCGAGCCGGGTTATCTCGTTTAATTCATTGCTAAATTCAGTGTGCAACATTTAATATTTATCATAAAATTCAGTGTGCTATTATCATCAAAATAACGCGTCCTCCGTTTCCACCCTACCGCAACTTTCCGTTACTTCCAGTCACCAAAGAGACTTTTATATATATTTACATGTACGTAATATATTTACGAGTCTCTCGTCTCTCGAAGTAGCACAAAGTTGAATATATGTATGTATATGTATATGTATATATATATATATACATATACAAATGTAAAGAAAAAGAAACAAACATATATGTACACGTATAAACATCTGCATACGTATACGTATACGTATACGTATACGTATACGTATACGTATACGCGTGTATTCGGAGGAAAAAAGAAGAAGATTTTCAACGAGCATTCCTCGAAGAAACATTTCCGAGACGTATCTTTGAGAAAACGATTCTGCGGAAAGGGTTTTCGAGGGATGTCTTCGGAAAAGCGTTTCTAGAAAATGTTTCCAAAAATTTGTCTGTGTGTACGTGTGTGCTTATTAGTTTTGTTTCTCTTTCTGTTGGTTGCTTTAATTAGCCTTGAGCTTATCGTATTCAACCGGTCCGTTGGCGTAGCCTTTCTTCGCCGCTTTGGCGGATCGACTTTTGCCGCCCAGATAGGCGTTGTGGAAGAATTTAGCGAATAGCACAAAGTAGCTGAAGTACATGGCCAGACTGAACTTGACGTTGACACGCGTGATATGGCATTCAATCTGTCCGCTTTCTAAATACTGGTAAGCCGTAATATTTATCAGGCAGCCGATAACCATTTGTGCTAACTGCAGCGCGGTGATCAGCATGGAGATCCCTTTAGGCGGTCTGTAACGCATCGCTTTCAAAGCGTAATACGAGTACATTATAGAATGAACGAAGTAGTTCATTACGACGAACCACCTGGCGGACGCGGTGTACTCTTTGTACGAGAACCAGGAGTAGAGGAGCACCGTGATGTGATGGTACCAATGCAGGAAAATCAGAGGCTGCTTTCTCAACACGATGAAGATCGTGTCGCCGAGTTCGGGCAGCTTCGACAGCACGAACATCCATGTCCAAAATCCAGACACGCAGTCTTGTTCGATGAAGCTGAAAGCGGAAACGAGTGTTTGTTCGCTTCGACTGTTACTATACACAGATCCGTACGATAGTTGCTTTTCCATGTGTATTACTTTCAACGAGTAATCGTTACTAGGCTAGTAGCGCCGCAAGCTGATGCGAGTTTTACCTGGGTATACAAATGCTATGGTAAAATCCCGAATTCCTGAGTATGTGGATCAATTCTGGTGCTGTCCTAGTGAATCCGATAATGGAGAATGTCGCGAGCACCGTGTTCCACAGTGAAAGTATGCCTCGCAGCTCGAACTTTGGCCTGGTGGACATGTAATGCTGCCCGCCAAATATTAAAATCATGTAAATGCCACAGTAATAGAAGCCGTTTGTCCAGTTCTTCGTCATCCATATTTTTGTGTCTAAATGCTGGAAGGTTTCCTCGAAGTTGAAGACGTATGAATAGTTCGGTACGGTAACATCCATGTAATCCACTTTGTTCATCTTGGAAGATGTTCCTGCGGCACCTTTTCCAGAGAAAGTTTCGTAGGTACCTTGGTTACAACACACCTGGAAAGAGAAGAGAAGAGATGAACAAAACAAGATTCCTCTACGAAAAACTCATCGGAAGAAAAACATGGAGAAAACCATGACAAACGAAGCGTCTGACTCAGTAATTGAATAATAACTCGCAATTCCAGATCAAGAGTAAGATACATGCATAATTAATCGATGCCAAGCGACGGAAAAAGATTCCGTAACCGCAATAATATTATCATCGGTTCTGGCCGCTTTTGCTTTGTTCGTGCATTCTTTTAGGCCTGAAAAATTCGACGCGTCGCCGACGCGGTACTCGTGTAATCGCGCGAACGCGCAAACGCGCAAGGACGCGAGAATGTTTACCTTTTGCATTCGAGCGCAAGCTTTCGCAAGATTATCATTAAAAAACTCTAAAATTCTCAAATAGCGAAACTAGAAAACGACAAAATGAAATATCGAACGAGGCGTCGAGGCACGAAACGGAAAGAAACCAGTTCCGGGCCTTAACTTACGCAACATCTTCCAGTGTTCAAACTGCAAACGACACAGTGGATAGCCCATTGAGAAATAACGAATCGGTGCAACGTAAAATGTCACCGGGCACACAAGGCGAACAGTACTTGAACAATACCTATTATTGTAACCGTGTGACTCGGCGAGGTTGCGTGAGAATACACGATTGTTTCCCTCGTTTCGCGTATCGGTTCATCCTTATCGTGCCGATAATTCGAAAAGTTTTATGTTATGCAATGCAAACACACGTCGTGTCGCGTCGCGTTATACAATTGTTTATTAATCCACGAAACAGGAAGACCAGTCTTTAAGGAGCATCGAGGGGAAAAACAAATCTCATTATTTTTCCACTGTACTTTGACCTAACTAAGACCATTACGTCCACGTTTCGCGGTTTTTTTTCCCGATACACAGGGTGACCCGTTAGCGAGGATTCTTTCCAATTTCTTAGTTCGGAGTCTCTCAACTTTTTACGTTTATCAACGAATTTACCAATTCTTTCGGCCGAGAAAGCATTCGAACGAATAATGGACGTTCGTTGGGATCAGTGGGCTTGGCGGCGATTTCACCGAGAGACTTTGCTTCACAAAATATTTCTGTCGTTCAAGGTCGCCTTAAGGTCGCCTTAAGGTCGCCTTAAGGTCACGGGTCGTTCAACTTGTTTCGTGATTCGTCGAGTCGCGCTAGAACCGACGAGAGAAAAACCGAATAGACGTAACGACCTCCACGATGACCTTAATGTAAAATAACATCGGATGTTGGTGACACTCGTCTAGTCGGAACGATAGGGATACACAGATAAAATGCCGAGAGATCTAACCCGAAGCCGTGTAATGACGACCGCACGAATCGAACGAAGAAGCAACGTCTTTTTCTTTTCGTGGAAAGTCGCGGCATTTTGCCATCCGTTCGTTGGAAAAAGTTCGATACTGGGACAACCGAACACGAGTTTCGGAATTCTTTGAAAAAATTCATTTACGTATCCGGACTCTGCCAATTCCCGCATTCGCGTGTCTTGATTTCAATATTTGCACGTTCCCGAATATTCTTGAAATTCCTAGATTTCTCAAATCGTTTTGCGACTCTCCGATCGGAAAGTCGAACCCGATCAAACGAACGAGTCTAATGTCGAATTTTCCAATTATCCGAACCACGTTTGTTCCAAGTTCGAACGACAATGAGGTCGGAGGTTTTCTTGCGCCGACAAAAAGTACAAATTAATACTTTGTGCCATACTATTTGCCTTGCGTCGACGTCAATCGAAGTGTTCCGACCGGTTTTTTGTTTTCTGTTTTTAAGTTCGACAAACGGGAATGATCGATAGTGATACGAATATGATTATTCCAGGATTTCTTCATTCCGTTCTGCGCGGGAAATCGCCGACCGGTCGCGTCTCGACGACGGATAGTTCGAGAAATACTTCAACGACGAATTTGAATATTTCGAAAACCTGCTCTCGTCAGCGGCTTTCTAATTGCGCCGAGATGTTCCGGCGAATTGGAAAGTTATCACTTAGGGAATCAACTATGTACGATGGAGGGAAAAAACGTTGGCGATCTATGTTTCGAAACGACAACGGATGATTGAGAACAGGAAAGGAAATGTTGCGAATAATTCGTCGATTCGTTGGATCGTAATGTTCAAACGATCGCGGTGCGCTACATAGTTCGGTCAAGTCGAACACCGCTAAAGCGAAAGCGCCTAGACGGATCAGGGATCAAAGCCAATTACAATATCGCTAATTATATGCGATACGCGACAAGTCGCCGTCGGTTACTTATTATTCTCACGAAAGGACGACGTACGCTGGCTCGGTCAAAGGTCGCGGGCAATGACGGTGGAAACCGGCCCAGAACAGATTGCCGATTGTGTAATATTGCCGATTAGAGACTTTCGTTGGCGAGTGACGCTCAGATTTAATTGATACTCCCCCCGCACCGGGGCACTAGTCGAAACGGAAGTCGACAGAAATAAGCTGCGCCCTCGAACAATCGGCGACCCCGTTCGGCACTGGCACACACACGTTAGTCTATTACGCTCGGTGTCGATTCGCTGGACTCGTCTAGCGAAATCTTCAGAATTTATTAACGCGATCTTTCAGCGCGATAACTGTATATTATCGACTAGTCTTGGAGATAAGTTAAATCGTCGTATCGGTAAACATTTATGAAATTTTCACCGAGACCTAACACCGATAACCGGTGTCCCCCGGTATTAATGTTGATCGGATTCCGTTCTATTCTGGAAATAACTCTACCTTCCCGAATGCTTTGATTCCGAAGCGAAAGGGTTGAGAAAGGAAGACGCTCGTAGAATCCCCGCGTTCCATTGACGCGGCACAGGGGCACCGAAAACTTTTGTCTGTACGCCACGCACACGCTTTTGCCGCTCTTTGTGAGGTACAATTAATCTTTTCAACGCGGCCGTCGTCTATAGTCGACGACCGCCGAATGTCCTGAACAGCTGAACGCCGATTTTCGTCGACAGTCGCCGTGAAATTCTTTTCAGAGCGTTTCACGGACCATTCGCCTTTAACCGTTTGCGCTGCATGCCATCAATAGGGACGTTATTACGATATTTTTTATATTGGAAATTAGAGATAGTCGCGTTTCCTCTCAACTGCCACACACACTGTCAGCAATGGAACGATAATATTGAAATTTACACTTGAAAGAACACCGCCATCGTACCTGAACGAGTTAATCGAGCTTAGAAAACTAAATCAACAGCTAACGCGCTTAAACGCGATTCAAAGAATCGACCCGGTTCGGGGAAAACGGAGTCGACACTTTTCAAATGGTAATTTTCATGAAACACTCGACACTCTTGCTCCTCGAAACGATGAAATTTCAGCTGGTGGTTCGAGAAATCGCGAAGTTGCTGGAAAAGGCAACAAGAAAACGCGGTAAGGCACGATCGGTGTTTCGTGCGCGTCGCTACAGGCGAAGCGCGAGGTTTTGCGAGAAAAACAGTTTGCCGTGCAATTAGCGGTCGTATGATTTTTGAAAGTGCATCCGGCAAAATCGTGACGCACGCCAGAACTACAGAGAAACCTTTGCACCGGGAAATCTCGGCTAGGAGGAGCCTACCGGCGTGCAAAATCCACGATGATTCGGCGGATGCTCCGCGCGACGATTTCATCGATGTCCTAGGCTGAACGGCGGCTAAGGAGCTTTCGGTGTGCACGAAAAAACGCTCGGTGAGATCGCGAAATGAATCGACTTCGAAAAAAACTCCGTTTTTAACGAACACGCGACCTTTAAACGTACACGCGGCGTGTTTTATCAAGTGACAAAGCAGCATCTTCAACTTCCGACAGATTTTATCAAGGCGAATATGCAAAATGAAAATAACGTAATGTCAACTTATGCAATTGAATTACGTTATTATAATTGCAGGTTTATCTTATCGAATATGCGACTGCATCGGCCGTTAAATCGGTAATCGAATTCGGTTCAACTGGAAGTTCGAGGACTTTTCTGTCATCGATGTTTCCACGCGCGAAGAAAGCGCGTGCTCCCGGTAAACAGAGAACTTTCGACTTATTAGTCGACGACATGGTTCGAATCGGTGGGGGAAAGTTGTACGGCTGAGGACTGGCGCGAAACTAATGCTTTCTGGACTTTTGTTTCTCGGAAAATCGTATGACTCGAGTCTTTGTAATAAAACGCGTTTTATCGCTTGTACCGACTAATTAAAATATGCTCTATGTACGTTTAAGTACTTGCGCTGTAACGAGGTGAATTTGAATAACCAGACAATTAATCGAATTGCGCAACGTCGCGTTCACGTGTCGGAGACGAGCGACGACCGGCGAAGATAAAAAACGAAATCGGGAAAAAAGAAGTTGGAAAAGGCACAGCACGCGCGCTTCTGCCGTCGCCGAGGAATCGATGCGCGCACCGATCACCCCATTATTTCAACGGCGACGTAACGCGGCAGATAACGCTCGGCATTTGTCCGCTCGCGAGTCGCTCGCGAGTCGCTCGCGAGTCGCTCGCGAGACCACGCGAACGGAGGAGGGGAAAGGAAAAGTGGAAGGAGGCAGATAGAAAAACAGGTATACGGGAAAACTGAAAGAGCGCGGCAGAGAGAGACCGGCAGAGGAAAAGGGAACGATAACGATACCGAAATGACGAGACCACGAGAAAATGATAGCAACGTAATGAAAATAATAATAAAAATTACAAATAAATAAGGAAAAAGGAAAGAAGCCGAAGCGAAACGCGAAGGCCGCGCGCGAGCTAGGCGCGAGCGCGACGCCAACGACAAATTAAGACTGATCGAGCATTTCATTTCGCGGAAGTCGCATCGATTATCAGATTAACCTCTTAACGGACTAGTTTTCTTGGCGTACGATGCCATTGACGAACTTCCAGCGGAATGGTCGGTGCGTCGCCGCTTGATCCATCGCGGCGGAGGTGCTCGCCGATCGATCGCTCGCGGGGAAAGGTTAATTCGCTCGTTTACGACGAGAGAAATTCAATTGTACCCTCGAATTCGAGCGGATCGAGGAGGTTTCTGGCCGTTTGCGCGCTGTAGAACCTCGGTTACCGGCTGACACGCTTACGATATCAGCGACTGCGAAATGCGAGAAGCGAAGCCGGTCGGAATGACTGGCACGGTGATTCCAGCGTTAAATAAATAGATGACGCTTGCTTTTGTCGAATGCGCTTTCAAATTCTCATTAACATTCGCGTTCGATATTAATCTTCGCGCGAAGAAAAACGTTGAATATCTCCAGCGCGGTCGTAAAATTCGCTGGCCAACCGGATTCTGTTTTCTTTGACGTCTATTTCGTTTGCAAATGATTTCCCCGAGATTGTCACCTGTCTGTTTGGTTTAGGTGTCGTTGGTTAGCATCCGAGTGTCGACTAGCATTGAATTTGATAAACGTTAGAGTCGGCTCGAGGAAAGACGGGCCATAGTTCTGACAAAACTGTTACATCATAGATATATCTAGCGATAACCCTTTGCTCTCGGGAATATTTTTAAAATTTTCCTTGGAGATATTCATCGGCTTCTGATCAGGTATCAAATATAATTGGCAACATCTGAATAAACTAGAAAAATATTAACCTGTTGCTCCTGCGGTAATGCGTCGGACCGATGGTAGAAACGTTCAACTATAAATATTCGAATTGACTATTACTCTTCTGTTATCGGTTGTGGTTTAGATGAAATTAGAGGAAAGGCTCACTTAATGAATATTCTTTCGATCAACGGAATGTTCATCTTCCTACGGACAACTCTGTGTTGGAGTAAAGCGTGTAGTAGCGGATACTCGCGGCGGTCACCGGTGATCGGCAAGCATGGTGTATTTAGCAAGCTGTAGATCGCTTTCCATTGTTCTAACAATCAACGGCAAAACGACCGAACGACTAAAAGTTCGAGCAACGCGTGACGAACCGTGACGGTCATGTGACGGGCTCGTCAAGATAACTTTTTATCCGACGTGCGTGCCTGCGTGCGACGTGCGTGCGTGCGGCGTGCATAACCTAACCGAACTATTCAAATTAGTATTTGCTAAATTGCTAACGAGGAATATTCTATTCGAATTTCATTGACCATTAACCCTTTACGCAATACAAATGCTTTTAGCAGTGTAACGGCTAATCAAACGTAAATATATTCTCTGAAATGTTCCCACAGAAACTCCCACGGTGCGTTTATTCGGATTTCTATCGATTTGAAATTCTGTTTACGTATCGCCGAACGAATTCCTTTGGTGAATTCTCCGAGAATCGTCCGGTCTTTTGAATAATCGCAAAAAGAAGAAACGAGGAATGGGCCGTCCCCAGCCGTCTGGTAGTCCAGCGTTAAGCGCGAAAACACCGAGCCCGCATTTCCTTCGTTCGGTTGAAACCGTTCGGGTGTAACCCGACACTGACGACCCTAAATCTCTTAATTTTCGATAATTCCGTTTGGCCAACCTCGGTAGCCTGTTAATATCTTCGAAACGACGGTCTCTCTCGCTCTCGATTCTTATGCCTTCTTTCCCTGAGAACCCTCGCTGCGATGGAATCCGAGGAAAACAAACGACAGGAGTGATAATGAAACCGCTTGGACATGACACTTAACCCCTTGTCGTGTGCCAACAAACGAGATTCCTAGGTTAATCGAACGCAAATCAATGTTATTCGTTGTGCATTCAATGCAGAAAAAAATCTACTTTCCCCTCAACGATCTTTCACCGTTCGAGTAAATATCCACTTGATTCAATGAAAAATATCTTTCTTACTAATTAGTTATTAGACAGCGTAATACGTAGGACGAATTTGGTCGTTGGATTATGAAATTCATGCGGCAGGATGTACAAAAGGTTCTTCGGGATGGTATCCGGATAAAAGAAACGGATACCTAACCTCTGAAACGACGCGGGCTCGCGTTTGCGCGGGAAATCTGGGAATTTTGAATACGCAGAGTCCCCTACCGCAAAACTTTCCAATCAAACGACCACCGTCGCAAACTTATCGACGAAACTTAGCGGGTCCGCAGCATCTTCCGTGCGAAATTCAATAAACCAAGGACCACGAAGATAATCGAGAACCAAGAATCGAGACGAACGGAAAATCAGGAAAATCAGGCATACTTGGATCGTTCAAGTTGGCTTTCCTCGGATTCCGAACGCAAACGTAAAGCGAGAACAACGATTTCACCGTTCGAAATCGCGGTGTACGAAACGGAGATCTAATCGTTCGAATCGATAGATGCCAGAGAGTCCGTTGCCGGTGCACGTATTTTTTTGGAATTCCTTGGAAATATATAGATGAGATTCACGACTTACCGGGTGTCGATCAGTAATTCAGCGGTGGATCATTAAACTCGGCGCGATAGCGAGCACACGCGTGGATTACACCGATCTGATCGAGCCAATCTCTGCAACACGTGTGTTTCTCGAGCACGTAGTTAACCGATCTTTAACAAATCCCGCGAGAAAAGAGGGAGATAAATATACAGGGGTCAGGGGGCAGGGGCCGGGGGCGAGGGCGGCGGAGGGGGCTGCGAGAAACACGTAACGCAGATAAGTTTGTAAATCTAATCATCGACACGAGTTCCATCGAAAATTGTTGGTGGTTATGTACGATTAAATATTTACACGCATGTGCCCCCGAATTCCTCGTTGGTGGTCCATTAGACGTAGAGGCTATGGCGCTAAACCAAAAAAAACAAAGAAAATTCAACCGAAACATCGAAGCGATAATAACGAATCGGCCGGCCAAGTATTTTAATGAAAAAGTTCGTACTTGAATGCCGGTGACGCAGACATCGTCGCGAGATTTGTTTCCTGCGACGCGAAATATATACATTCATCATCCGCCAAGACGATCGTGATTCGACTTCCGGGTGTAATTCGTCGCCTCGGCTCGCGGTGAAAATTGGACAGCGTCGCGTCCGAGCTAGCACGGATCTCCACGTTACGACGTCCACGTGAATCCCGAAAATCACAGTCCCGGTGGCACGTTCCGTGGTCCGACGCGACGGTTCATCGAATTTCGGCAGGTTCCGTTCACGTGACCGGAACTCGTTTCCCGGGTACGAAACCGGCCCGTGGGCAACGACCAACGGGATATGTAGGGTTCGTCGGTTAATTAACCAACATTTCGAAAACAAGACAAACGTCAAACGAATTTCACGAGAATGGACTGTTCTGCACGGGAACCCTCGCCGTGTCCAATTTAACGTGCGCGAAAAACGGTAACACGATGCATAGAAAAGGAACCGCTCGGAACATTCGGCGCTAGGTAACGTGTCGTCGGCAACGGAAAAGCCGAGCTGGACGTGGGGTTGACACACGGTCAACAACGACGAGACCGAATTTTCTGTAATTCTTGTTTTCGAATGAAAATGGAAAAATACAATTTCCCGTGGCGCAAAGGTCCGGCTGACCGCGAAACTTTCACGGTCGATCCCGAGGCGACGGCGTACCCGCGGAACTGGAAAATGTCGTTGGCGCACGGGAGGGTCGGCGAATCGCGCGACTAGGATTTCCCCGTGGATGTGAGAAACCGTCGGCGAAACTCCGAAAAATCGTTGGGCGAGGGACCGTTCCAGCGGATACGTACCAGCAAGGCAGGCCGAGGGAGCGCTGGTCTCGAAACGAGTCGTCGGAGATCAGAGAAGACACCAGGTGGATCACAGAGGATCGTTGTTTTACGCGGTTTGCGCACACGAAAAGGCAATGACTCGCACTAACAAGCGGGCAGTCGCGGCTGCCAGCTTTAAGTAGGCATATTCATTGAACACGGTGGAACAAGACTGACTCTCAGTGGAAATAGTTTTCACGCACGCCGCCGGCCCAGCAAGATGCAAATGGTAGAACACCGCAGGCCGCCATTTTTGGTTAGATGGCAGGCAGGTGCACTACCAGCGAGCCCTCTCTCGGCCGCCATCCGTCAACTTTCCCCACGTAAACGCCTGGAGGGCCATGTGGTCGATCGAATATTTTTCAATTAAGCTATCTAAATCGGTGCCCGCGGCCGCTCTAGTAACACTCCCCTGATCAAAAAGTTACCCTCTCCATACCCAATTTTACTAGTTTCTATCGAATATCACCTAGAACTGCCCGCGTAAACACTTTTGAACAGTACCGATTTATATGCATGTCACTGTTTTATCTTTCACGCGACCACGATTCGCACTAATAGGCGCGAACTGTTAAATAAATATTAATTATTCTGTCCAACACGAAAATTGAAATTGTTACTCGAACCTGTGGCTCCATCTACGGCGAAACGCTGAACCTCTTGGCCGATTAGTACCGTGACTCCGTCGGTAGCCGGCGTACAATCTTCTAGATTCCTGTTTCATAAAATCAAATATTATTTTTAAAAACTGTACGAATAATTACTTTTAATTAATTTAAATTATATGTATATAGTTTTTTCATTCGTACGAGTTATCAAAAAAATTTGTCAGAGTTTCAAGTTTGTTAACCGTATCGACATCGGATTGTGTACAAAAAACACGTTTGTTACATTAACCTCTTCTTACACATTTTCGAAAAATTTGTTTACACAGGTTAGAAAAATATAATACAGAAAAATGAAACGTTTAACGGAGGAGAAAACGAAACTGGTCTTGGAAAAATTAGCAAAATAGTAAGTAGATGTATATATTACGTTACAATGTTCTTTCAAATTCTCATATGCATTTGTTTCCAACTAATGAATCAACCCATCTCGCAAAATGTAATCAAGTATCTTACATTTTTTTTAGTATTGGAGATAACGTGAAAGTGTTGATAGATAGACCAGATGGCATTTACTGCTTTCGGGAACGGAAATGCAGGGTATACTATGTATCTGAGAAAATTCTTCCATTAGCAAGTATGGTGAATCCAGATCGATTAGCAAGTTTTGGTACATGTTTTGGGAAATTTACAAAATCTGGAAAATTTAGGCTACACGTTACTGCGTTATATCATCTAGCTCCATATGCACAAGTATATCGTACCATTGAAACATTTCTTATAATTTTCTATAATCTATAATTATAAATAAATATTTTAACTTTCATTAGCATAAAATATGGGTCAAACCATCGGCTGAACAACAATTTTTATACGGACATCACATATCCAAGTCTGGCTTAAGTAGAATAACAGAAAATACGTTTCAATATCAGGGAGTAGTTATATTTTCAACAAGCGATGTTCCATTGGTAAGAAAAATGTTAAAACTTTTAAGCGACTTTAATTCTAATCAAATAAATTGTGTCTTTTTGTGTAATCATAGGGTTTCGGAGTAACGGCGAAAAGTACAATGGATTGCAAGTACGCGGATCCAATGGCCACAGTGTGTTTCCATCAGGCTGACATAGGAGAATACATTAGATCGGAAGATTCTTTAATTTAATTGCACCGCGAGAATATTATTGTAGACCACTTAAGTTTTAAATTGTTAAATATATGACTACGTATTTTCATTAAGAAAGAAATGTTTCGAGTTATTTATTATATTTGCAAACCGAATCTTACCTATAAATCATAGAAAAATATCACTTTATTTACATCCATCTCACAATATAATAATTCTTTTTTCCAACCCTCATTAACGTAACATTGTTCTCCATTATATGTATGCCTCGTACAATGACTTCTTCGGTATTTGTAATTCTCTGATAATTAATGTAAAGACCACCAGCTTGAATAATTCTTCTTGCATCATTTTCCGTGTTGAAACATTTTGCTTTCATTGATAATTCATAAACGGTAATGCCAGGCTCGCCGAGTATATTTACTATTGTAGCTCCTTCTATAACTTGTGTTAGTTCTTCTGCATTTAATTTTGATAGAGATTCGAAAGAGTTCTCATACAAAATACTAGATGTCCTCTTTGCTGCTGATAATCCTTCGTCTAAAAGTGGTGGTTAACATAAATTCAATATAGACTGCTTCTCTGTTAGTAAATTATTCCAATTATTATTTGCCTACCTCCATGGACTAACAGTGTAACTTGCTCTGCAAGAATTTTCTGTGCCGTTCTAAGTTCTGGCTGTTTCAAGTGATCTTCTATAATTTTCTGGATATTTTGCAAAGGTAAAAATGTAAACAATTTAAGCAACTCCTCCACATCTGTATCTTTTGTTCTAACGAAGAACTGATACAGTTGGAAACTGGAGGATTTTGATGGTGAAAGCCAAATCGCATTGCCAACAGACTTTCCAAATTTCTGTCCATCTTTAGTCGTGATAAGTGGTAACATTAAACCATAGACTTCTTTATTGATATACTTGGCGATTAAATCATAGCCGGACATTATGTTTCCCATCTGATCGTGACCACCTATTTGAAATTTGCAATTATACGTACGGTACAAATGCAACCAGTCATATGCCTGGAACAAAGGATAGCTGAACTCTGTAAAACTCATTCCATTATCAGATTGCAATCTAGACTGTACAGAGGTACGACCTAACATTGTACCCATTTTAAAATATTTTCCAATTTCTCTGATAAATGAAACTGGACTTATGTTGTTGTACCACTCTAAGTTGTTTAATATCTTCACAGGAATCAAGTTGCGGCGCACATTCTTGCAAAAGTATTTCTCATGGTTCTCGAATATGTTCTTTATATCGTTGTTAATGGATTTTACATTTTCATGAAGCACGATGTCTTCCATTTCAATGCGTTCCGTTGTTCTAAAACTTGGGTCACCTATCAAACCAGTTGCACCTCCTAGTAGCGCGATTACTTGATGGCCACGGCGTTGCCAGTGTAAAAGATTCATGAGAATTAATAAATTTCCTATATGCAAACTTTCTGCAGTCGGATCGAATCCTGCATAGACACATTGCGGAGGTTTTTTCCATAATATCTTTATACGGTCTCTAAAAATTCATTCTACTTTAATTATACAAATAGAGTGAGCTTTACTTCATCGGTGTATAAAAATGATTTTTCAAGAAAAACTCAGAATACTCACGAATGAATGTCAGGAAAAATATCTTCGTACAACTGTCTATTTTCTGCATCCACTACATGTTTCGCCGAGTACAAACGGCGAGCACACAAATGTTTTGTACACAAACGTAACCTGATTAAATTGTTCATTATTACTTAACTATTCATGTAGAAAATAAGAATATCACTGTACAATTGATCATTCATTCAGGATTTTAAATTAATGATCAATAAAGTACTCGTAAACAATTTTCATTTGAATTAACGCGTGTATTCTACGAAATGTAACTTTTAATATAAAAACATTTAGTTAGAATTTCGTACTTAAGGTGGCAGCACCTCCTCGAAGAACGATAGAACAATGCCTACTAGAGGGCAATGAATGAAAATAAATGATTTCAAATTATAAATTTATTTAAATATTTATATTTGCACTATTATACGCACTTCAATTGAGAATATAATTCCATTGGAGTTATTTCTCCGATTATTTAACGATTGAAATATATTAAAAAATGTTTTTATCAACATTCGTCTTAGCAACTGCTCACCTAGTGCAACATTGTACCGCCAGATGGAAACATAATATAGTCCCTGGAAAAAAACGAGCAATTAAAACAATGTATAATAGCATAAGACGAGCAATTAAAATAATATATATAATTTTAATGTATGTATACTTAATGTATCTATACCGTACGTATACTGCTCTATTCGATTAAATTAGCATTTATTCAGCTGATGGAAGTAATTACATATTCCAATCCGGAATTTGTGTCAGCAAATACCATTTGCAATTTCTATCAGATCGAGAAACAGTAAACAAATTATCGCTAGAATGAGCTAATTGTATGGCAATAGTATTTTTTGTTGTACAATTATATAACGCTTTGTTGCAGTGATTTAATTATCTGGCGCAACGATGACAGGTTTTTGTCGGTCGAGTGTGTGGCCCTAATGGCTGAGCAGTCTTGGAACAGGTTGACACGCAGTTTAACTCTGCTTTCCGCAGTTCTGAGTCGTCTCATGTCGGGTTGGCGTTCGAATAATGGTCGAGCGACTGTTTAATTGTGTAAAAACGATTTGCGACGACGTTAAAAGAAAACAGAACGCCGCGACGAGTCACAAAAGAGTACTCGCGGGATTCCAAAGTGATCCGGACCGTTATGAAACTATTCTGAAATGATTGCGAGCCAACATTAGCGGGAAACAATTACCTGGACAGAATCAACCCATTTCGTTCCAGAAAGGATTTCTGACAATTTCAAGAAAACAGCTTGCTCCAATTGGAAAGATCTTCAAGGAATTTTTAGAATATCGCTCAAGCTACGAGGTCGCGGCCGTTGAAAGCGAATTAAAAGGCGAAATGGCGTAACTTGGACAAACGAATTTCTGTTTAGTTATCGATAGCTCGCGAATTGAACGTTGCCAATGTAAACAACGATTCTCTCTGTTTGAGCGGCTTAAACGGTCCAATCGCTGCTGGTCCAGCGAACGCAATGGCTCAAAACGCGTCCTTCTGTCCCTCCGGCTGGTCTCTTCTCTTCGTTTCTCTTCCTTAGTATCGCCTATACCGGACAGCATTTGAAACGGACTTTCGCTGAAAAACGAATAGGTCGAGGGGCCCCATGGCCGTCTTCGTCCTCCTGACCCAAATCCTGTGGACTCCTTCTCCTGTTTCGGCCCGGGGCCACTCCGACGCGTGTTTATTTCGAAAATTAACAGCTCACGGTCCGCGATTTCGTCTCCAACGAGCTGCCGCCGCACTAAACAAATCGAGAAGACACGAATCTTATTAAGCTGCCATTCGCAACGAATAGAATAGTCTATTTGCAACGAGTACAATAGTCGCAATGAGTCGCGACGCGAGCAGATAACGGTAGATAACGGCAATTACTTCTAATACCATTCGTTGTCTCCGTTACGAAACACCGATTAATATTATATAAAACGGTAAAAATTGGAGCGGCGGTGTAGGTGTTAACGAGAGAGCGTGTGTCTCTGCTCGGTAGCCTCGGCGAGGGGGCCGATGAGAACCGCTGACGACGAGGAATCGCAAGGAAGAGTGGACGATTTAATCGCGGGTCTAGGATGGGACGTCGCGAACAGATACCGCTCGCGGAGTAACAACCAGCGAGCACGTAACCAACCGCGTAAGTCCCCGGGTGAATGGGAAAAGTAGAAGTTTCGGTCCCCGTGTCTGCCCCACTGCACGCCCGTGCCCGCGTGTCTGTCTCGCCGTATCACCCGAACGCCGGACGTCCCACTAGGAGAACGGACCGACCGCTCCGAGGTAGAAAGGTTGGCGGATTCTTTCGTTCGACCGAAATGCGGAACGGCCATGGGAAACATGGCGTAGAATCCCAAAGAGAGCACATCGAGCAACGACCACGTATTAGAAAGGGAACCTTTCGTGTGGGGTAATCCCGAGCGAGATGGCCCGGTCTCGTTTAACGCTACGTTCGTCGCGGACTTTATTCTCTTTCCAGAGAAAAATCGGTCTTGTGGATCTTGGAAATTACAGCCTCGATAACGACAGGTTCGAATATACACGTCCGCGCACCTTTTCGTTTCCTGGACTCGATTCGCCGCATTCTCGCCTCTGACCGACTCCATTGTCCTTGCAATTTTTCGCAATCTGCAAGTAAAACAACCATTAGAGTACAGAATTATTTCTATTCCATTAAACGATCCGTTAAATCGTTTCATTGTTACGTTGTCGTTCCAAGTTCCGAATTGCAATGGGAATGGCCCTCGGGCGAAGCTGCGTCGTCGCCGAGGATACGTCGAGATTCAGGACGCCGTTGAGACACCGTCCGCGCGGTTAATATCGCCTCGAAATGCCACTTTGTATTAGAAACACGACGAAGAAGACGTATGTGGAATTATGATGGCGCGGCGCTCTCGATGGAGCAGTTTTTTTTATCGGCCGGCATCTGTATGTGAAACGGTCATGGGAAAACGGCGCGGAGTCTCATAAAGCAGGAATCCGTGGCTTACAAAAGAAACAAGCCGCGAGCACGGTGGAAAGGAAGTTTTGCGGAGCCAAGAGACACAATCGGGACGCGCGGACGTTGCGAACCTAACGATTCCGCGAATTCAAAAAATCGTATTACATTTGACGCTGGAAGTAACAGGCAAACGGATTATGTATCATTTCGCTCGGCTGTCGGTGGTTCTAACGTTGATCGCGAAGAGAGAACGACATTCGGCAGCCGTGTCTTCTGATACCGGTGAAAGTCGTTAAAAATATATACATACACATATGTGTGTAGACGTACGGTCGGAAAACAATCGGCAAGGAAAGCCCAGCCGCGTAATTGTCATGCGAAAGGGGTCTAATTAAATCCCTTGAAAATTTCCTATTTGCTAATAAGACCGTGCTCGATCGCGCCGGGCTAATGAGACCGAAGGTTACGAAATCGCAGTAACGATGGGACTTGAAAACCCGCAATAAATCGGGAGACGCGAGCGTAACCTCTTCCATCCACTGGAAACGCCAGCCAGCCGTGGTGCGCCAAATTTCATGAAACTTTGCGCTCGCGCCGCCTGGAAATGCTTATTGCGTCACGCGAATCGGCATATCATTAGCGTCCACACGATTATTTCGGCTCTTCCGTTTTTAATAATCGCTGTCCGAATCGCTTTTACCTCGGTATGAATACACGTTGTTGCCGCGAATCGACGCTTCCTCGTTATCGGCCTGCAATTAAGATATTAGAAACAATCTAGAAGAAAAATTCAGTTTTCCATTTAGTTCGCCCTGGCGAAATCATAGGTTGTGTAAACATTCGCGATTGCAGTTACGCAACGATTCATTGTATCATTATCGCGCGACGATTCTCTCGGCAGAGTAACGCGGGATATTCCATTAAGGGAGCTATTAATGGGAAAAAACGAAGAGGGGAATTAAATAAATTGTATCATTTACCGCACGAGAATTGCGGCTACCGCCGCGCAATCGCCGCTTTCTTGCCACGAGCAATTTACCGGGGATCTATTTGTCCTTTAATGGGCCTGAAAAATGCCACTTCCCCATTCGCGAGACACTCTGGTCGTTGTCGGCGGTGGAAATTCAATTCTATACGTGGGACGTGTTCACGCAGCGATGCTGCTAGGGTCTACCGCTTTAAGGGATAATTCTGCTCGACTGGAAAGGTAGAGAGCTATCCGAGCGAGTCTGATTTCAGAAATACCGAAAAATATATGTAACGTACAGACCTACCAGACCTCTACAGACTCGCGTAGATTTCTGTAAATCCCGTTTCACAATCGGAGAATAAAAAAGGGTACCGACGCAGTCAGCGCAACGTATCACCGGAGAAGGGTATAGCGCGCATCTCCGCGTTGCGAAACCGAAAGTCTTCCACTTCCTGCGAGGAAGTCTCGTCCTCCACTGGAGAAAGGAAACCTCGAAAACCGATTTGACCCAAATCATATTTTCGTGTGTACCTGCGCCTATGACTTTCCATTTTTTTCTGGTCCCCTTTTGTCGTCCTTCGACCTCCATCGCAGCGAGGGAGTTTCGAATCTTCGGCGGCGATCCAAGATTTTACAACGCCACGGTTATCCAAGATGTAATACGTATCCAAGATGGAACTCGATCGAACCGTCGTTGCACCGCTAATTTCTCTTTCACCTCCGGATCCGGTGCAGCCACGGTAGTCTTCTATCAGCTGATTCATCCTGTTCACGTGGGCTCTTTCCCTGCTCGGTGGTACCAGCGTTTCAGTGACGCCGCATGCATTCAAAAGCTCGATAAGAATCAATGGAAATGTATCAGGAAACCAGATAACAATAAAAGAAAGGGTAACCAGTAATTCAGACACGTTGAATCCTCTTCGAGCCTTGTCATGCTTTTTCATTGGATCCGTTCGTTTCCCGAAGACTCCTCGGTAGACCTTCGTGTGGATCTTCGTGCGGATTCAAATGTTTCAGGATATAATTAGAGAAATATAATTACGCTGGAAAATAGTCGGCAAGAAATTCCAACGAATACCATAATTACCACTATACCTTGTACGTTCTTCGTATTTTTCGTAAATTTCCCCCAAGTGCATCGGAATCGTTAAATTACTACGACAAATAATCCGGAACTGCTGGAACTACTCTCTCAGCTCAGACACGGCGCGTTACGCGAAACGCGTAAAATTCGTGTCTCCGTTCTACGAGCATTAGACGCTGTTTAGAAAGTTTCCAGGCGTCGATCACGCTTGCCAAAAGTGTATACATGTTCCGCGTTGCCGGAGAGATGGCAGGTGGCACAGGGGCAACAGGAATTCCTTATGACCGTATCAGCTAACGATAACATTAAATATCCTGTTAATTAAATAGTATATTATCCGACGAT